CCGTGGGAAAAGGAAGGACAATTACAATTCATGTTATGAGAAGAAAACTGATATGACTTAGTGACAAAGTGGGTGTGAAGGGTGAGAAGGCTGGAAGTGACTGAAATTTCAAGCCCGAGTGAGTAGCTATTAAAAGAAAGACAGAAGTTAGAATGAGAAGTTAGCTGGAGGGGAAACATCACAGTGAGAAAGAGAAGGCACGGATGTTTGTTACATGGGGAGCTGGCAACATCAGATTTTAAAAGAACATATGAAAAAGAATGCAAAACTAAGGATTGAGTTAAAGAACTGCTAAAAACTTGTACAAATAGAACCAGGAAGATTAATAGTCTTGTCACATAGTAGGCACTCAAAAAAAATTTTCTTGAGTGAATGAGCTGAGGCTTGTGGAAAATTCTTCTCTCTATAACACACTGCCCTTCAGGCTTTTTGTTGCTTGGAGAAGATGTCATATGAAAAGTAAGAAGGAAGAGCCATTCAAATGCTACTTTGCTTCTCTCTTTTCCAGAAAAAAGTGATCTTTAACCTGGGTGAGGTGGAGCAAACATAGAGTAGAGGGAATAACAGTAGTGTAAGATGGGAGAGGAGCTGGACAAGTACCCAGTCCCTTTAATTCATGTCCAGTGATGCACAGAAGCATGGGGGTGTTCAGTGAAGAGAGAATTAGCTTCAGTGTTGTAGTCAATTTATCTGGCTACATCCTGAATAGGAGTAGGAATTTAGCAAGAAGTAAAAAGCATTGGCTTTGCAACCCACAGAACTAGATTCAAATTCTGAGGTAGCCACTTTGGTAGCCGCGTGAACTCTGGTAAGTCACTTGATCTCTTCAGATGTCCGTCTTCCCCATTTGTGAAAACAAGATCAACAATCCTTATTCTCACAGAGTTGTCTTGAAGATTAAATGAAGTAAAGCATGCAGAACCTGGGTTAAGTGATAAGATGAACATGCTGGTACACCTATCTTTGCTCCTTTTCTGATTGTTTTCTTGGGCCCAGCAATGACATTAAAATGTGGGAGGATACCACTCTCCAGAACATGTACACTCCCTCTAGCTGTGTATTAAAATATATTTTGTTTTGAGTCTCTAACAGCCAAACAAGAGTAAAATTAGATTGGTTGGAAAATGGAAAGCCAAGCTGGGAGTGCTAGTCACAGAACTCCCCCAAAACAGGGCCCGGATGTTGTTGGGTGCAGCATTATAAATTTACTTGAGCTTTTCTATGAATCTGTTACCAAGGGTTAAGATGCTGAATTGTAGTAGGGAGGAGACAAGACAAATCTGGTGGCTAGAGGGGATTCCCAGACCAACATCACCTGGTTCATCCCATCTAGCAGGGAAAACTTCCTGTTCGAGAGCCACCACCAAGAACTCCATATAAAAAAAAGAAAGAAAAACATTCATGATACAAAAGGAAGGACTAAGAAGTGAAAAATGAACTAAAAGGATTCACAGCAAACTCATGGTTGGTAATTGCCAGGGATTAGGCAGAGGTGGGAAAGTATCTCTGACATTGGGGATCAAAGGTACTTCAAATATTGGGGAAAATTTTATTACATACATAGAAATACATATAAAGGCTAAAAGCAGATATGTCAACATGCTAACAACTCTCAATTCTTGGAGCTTAGAAAATTTTGTACTTTATGCTTATTTGAATTTTTAATTTATTTAAGATAACAAAATGAAAATAGGAGAGATTAGGGGATGAAAATAGGGGATGGTACATTGGAAAAGGATTTCTGGAAAAAAATGAGGTTTGAGGCAAACTATAAAAAATGAAATGCAATTTGGGCCCAGCCAGTGTGGATCAGTGGTTGAACACTAACCTATGAACCAGGAGCTCACACTTCGGGGCACATTTCCAGTCAGGGTACATGCTGGGTTGTGGGCTGGATCAGGAGGCTGCAGCAGCTCATTAGTGATTCTCTCTCTTCATTGATGTTCCTATCTCTCTCTCTCCCTTCCTCTCTGAAATCAATCATATATATATATATATATATATATATATATATATACACAATATATATATATATATAATATATACACACACACACACACACACACACACACACACACACAATTACACACACACACACACACACACACACACACACACACACACACTTTGGATGGCTTCAGGGGATAGCTGCCAGGGTCAAAGAGAGGAGCTTTCTGTTTGGAAATAGTCCCTGTTTTCAGAACTCAGTTAGGGATATAAAAATTACCCAGATTCCAACTCACAGTAACACAGAATTGGAAGTTATATCACTTATTACTAATAAAAGAGAAAACAAAACAAAATTGTTTCAGAATAAATAATTCAGAGTTTTTCATATGACTTAGCCTCAAAAATAAAAAAGAGCCGGTGTCTGTTTAAAATACTGTCAGGCACTGTAAGACTGTACGGAAGCCACTTGAGAGAAATTCCTCCCGAGTGATGCAGCAGCTCCGAGGTGCTGAGGAATTGGGTGGAGTAAGTTGTAAACCGAGCTGTTGAGCTCTAACAGTCAGAATATATCTGTTGTCTCTGCTCTGCAAAGACAGGAGGTGAGTGTGCTTCAGATCGGAAACAGGAACTCAGTGGGTGGACCTAAAAGGGAGTGTGGGCTTTGAGACAGGAAAAAAAGAAGTCTGCTTCTGATAGTGAAAGAGACGCATGGCTGCCCTGTTCCGATCATGCACGTCCTGCTGGGTTAAACCTCTAGTCTGTAACCACTGGCAGTAACGCATGACCTTGGGTTATCTTGGCGGCTGTTTTATTTTGCTTCGTAAGTGCTGTGTTACTGCTTCATGTATGTGGCAGTTTTGCCATTTCAGGAAATGCCATACACTCACGTGCTCAAATCAGAAACCATGCAGTTATTTGATCTTTTCATTTCCCTGCTCCCCACATCCAATTCCTCACCAAGTTCTGACTCTTTCTTTAAAATATTTCTTTAATTAGTTTGCCTTTCTTATATTGACTTCCAATATTGTAGTTAAAACCAGTCATCTCTTTTTCAGGAGACTGCAGAGCCTTTCTGCCTGTTTTCTTGCTTCCATTGTTGCCTTTGCCAGTTCCAAATTTAGGCCCAAGGAATCTTTTAAAAACGTAGATGATTCATTCCTCAGGCTTTCTTTCTGTGCTTCAAGTCCCATATCCTTAATCTGGCCTACAAAGCTTTGCCTGGTTTGACCCTGAGTCACATGTCCTCCCCACCTGTGGCTCTCTCCCCCTTTCTGTTTCAGTCACAATTGTCTTTTTATTCTTGACTAGAGGCCTGGTGCACAAAATTCGTGCATGGAGGAAGGGTGCCCCTCAGCCCAGCCTGCACCCTCTCCAATTTGGGACATCCCTCTCACAATCCAGAATTGCTGGCTCCCAACTGCTCGCTTGCCTGCCTTCCTGATTGCTCCTAACCACTTCTGCCTGCCAACCTGATCACCTCTTAACCACTCTGCTGCCAGCCTGATTGATGCCTAACTGCTCCCCTGCTAGCCTGTTTGCTCCTAACTGCCCTCCCCTTCAGGCCTGGTCACCACTAACTGCCCTCCACTGCAGGCCTGGTCACTCCTAACTGCCCTCCCCTGCAGGCCTTGTCCCCCCCAACTGCCCTTCCCTGCAGGCCCAGTCACCCCCAACTTCCCTTCTCTGCCAGTCTGGTCACCCTTAACTCCCCTCACCTGCAGGCTTGACTGCCCCCAATTGCCCTCCCTTGCAGGCCTGGTCCCTCCCAACTGCTCTCCCCTGCTGGCCATCTCGTGGTGGCCATCTTGTGTCCACATGGGGGCAGGATCTTTGACCCCATGGGGGCAGTCATCTTGTGTGTTGGAGTGATGGTCAATCTGCATATTACTCTTTTATTAGATAGGATTATTTCTCAGCTCTTTCTAGGTTTGGTTTCTTTGCACATTCCTTTCCCAGCACCTGCATGCTTTTCCTTCCACCGCTCACCTGGCTCATTACCATTTATCTGGCAGATCTCAGTTTAAGTGTCATTTTCACAGATAGCAGCTACTTCTTCTCCTTCATAAACTTTTCATAATTAAGAATATATACTGAGTGGCCAAATTATTATGATCTCTGAATGCATAATAATCTGGCCACTCAGTATATCTATATTAGAGGCCCTGTGCATGAATTCATGCATGGGTGGGGTCTGGTCAGCCTGGTCAGGGGGAGGGGACGTGGGTGGTTGGCCAGCCTGCCTGCTGGTCGAACTCCTGGTTGAGGGGACAATTTGCATATTAGCTCTTTATTATATAGGACATATACTGAGTGGCCAGATTATTATGCATGCAGATATAATAATCTGGCCACTCAGTGTATATGTTCAATTGTCTCTTCCATTAGAGAGTAAATTTCTTGAAGCCAAAATAATGTCTATTATGTTAACCATTAAATATCTAGGGCTTATGTCTGGCACAGACGAGGTGCTTTCCTTTTAAATGAATCATAATGTCCAGCACAGTGTGAGGAAGAAAATAGGTTTTAAAATCTAGTTACCTATGGAAAATTCCCTGCTGCCATTTAAATGTAAAAAAAATTAGGGTCATGCCGAGACCGGTTTGGCTCAATGGATAGAGCATTGGCTTGGGGACTGAAGGGTCCCGGGTTCGATTCCGGTCAAGGGCATGTACCTTGGTTGCAGGCATATCCCCAGTAGGGGGTGTGCAAGAGGCAGCTGATCGATGACTCTCTCTCATCGATGTTTCTAACTCTCTATCTCTCTCCCTTCCTCTCTGTACAAAATCAATAAAAATATATTTAAAAAAAAAAAATTAGGGTCTTGTAAATTTAGTATCATAAAACTGAATTCAGAAATTATTCTCTAAAAACATAAAACCAATGGAGGCAAGTCATACTTAACCCACGTTTCAGAGTATTTCCATTTTTTTTTCTGTCCTCTTGAGGACTGGGACAGGTCTGGGATCAGGGCAGGATTAAGCTAAGGGCTTTTCTATGGTTGGTACTTTAACATTCCTCCTCTTTCTCACCTGGGGGCACAAAACACTCACCAGCAGACTGTGACACAAAGCATGGAAATGCTGCTGATTTGTCTCCAGCTCATCCCAGTCCAGCTGCCAACAGCTTGTGGGTCTAAGGATGAATGGGAGTCCATACGTTATTGACTCGCAGATCCCACTGGATTTTAGAGCCCTGGAGAGAGACAATGGCAGTGAAAGTCTCCAGTGATTATAAGAACCTCGACCCAGATCCACCCAAATTCAGTAAGTCTAAGGCCCTATTGTGAAATCCTTTAGGTTAGGGACTGCAAATTATTCATCTATGTATGGCCAGTGCCTACAAGGTATCTGGCACATAGCACATTCTAAAAGCCTGTTAATCAATGAGTGAAACAGCCATCATGAGGGCTCCAGACACTGCTGGCTATTTCTTCTCCTGAGCTCATTCCATTCTCAGTGACATCCCTGGAGACACACCCATAATATCTCTGCTACAGCAACCATATAACACAATATGGTTATACCATCTGCTCCCCAGTCCTGGCTCTTTTGTGGTGATATAGGATGCATCTAAGAAGAGCATGCATTTTAAAAGTCTCCTAGAAACATCCATGGTCACAAACCTATGGACACGCTCACTCAGATGCCTGTGCATGGGCACTGACAGGAACGAGGAAGCAATAAAAGTGGCCTTCACCCATCATTGCTAACTCTGCCTTGGACTTGGTTCCCCTGGAAGCAGGAATTCTAGTACTTAGCATCGAATTTCAATTGGTGTGCTGCAATAATCTTTAAGACATGAAATACCTGACTGTTTAGTCAGGAGTACTGACCTCTTTTCCCTAAGATTGTCAAATAAAAAATGATAACAGCCATTTGATTGATTCACATAGCTGTCCAGTGTGAATGAATCAAAACTATATCTATTTTTTTGTCAGATGGGCAAAAAATAATATATTTTTTTTAGTGTGCTGCAGAATTTTAGTAATTCATTTATGTGTGCCATGAGGTGAAAAAGGTTGAAAGTCGCTGAATTAGAGAAATGGTAGAGAGGAGGCAGGGGAAGATCTTGCTCCTTGAAGGTCATATCTCTCTCCTGGTGCCTAAACACAATATGTACTCAATAAACATTTTCTGCTGATCTTGTTTTGCCCTGCATTCAGAGACTTTCTGGATTTCCAATCTTCATCCAGATCTCAGAGTGTCCTACTGAGGCACATCTCCATGTGCCGAGCAGCTTTGATTGCTCTTTCATGTCCCTATCTGTAATTGCTGCTTTGGACCTGACTCCCCCCTGCCTGAAACTTGGGGAAGTCCTCTATTTCTAGACTTTCTAGCCATGGAACCCATAGAATCAGCATTTGCACAGATTGGGGAGGTTCCCATGATCCATACTTGATCACCCGGAGCTTATAATAAGAGGCTGATGACTGGGAAGCCATCTGGTAGAGTGTGCTGAAGTCTCCTTTGGGGTCATCCATTTTCAGGGAGCCATCAGCTGTGCCAGGCAAAAGGGAAGGGCTGAGAAGCCGCTCTTGGAGATCACATTTCAGGCACACTACAGTTAAAAAAAAAAAAAAAAAAAAAAAAAAAAAAAAAAAAAAAAAGCAAGCATTAGAGGAAGGATGTTGGTCACAAGTTACCTCAGGCTATGTGATAAAATCTGTTAGCCATTCTACCTCCATTAGTTAAGTGAGAATTGGGAAAAGGCAGGAGAGTGGAAGGCAGGAGAGAAGAGAGGTTGGTTTGGGAAGGCAGAACCAGTCTGGAGTCGACAGTATTGCACTGCACAATGGATAACATTTTCTGGGTCTGACATGATTTTTACTTGTTTTACATCTGGGCTGGCTGAGCTGGGCCCCATAGTGAGAGATCTGGCTTGTGATCCAGTCTGAGAGGAACATGTGTCCTTTGGGGAGGAGGCAGCTAACACTACAGTAGGCAGAGACCCTTTGGCAACTATACAAGGAAACTTTGCCTCTGCTGCTTCCCTGTGGTTAAACTTTGGCAAGATTACAGGTCAGATGAAAGCGGAGCAGGAAAGCAGAAGTCAGGCAGTCAGCTGACAGCCTCTGTTCCTCTGTGGGCTCTTCTAGGGCATTGGCACCGGGGGAGGAATAGGTTCCTGAAATAGGTTTACTGTTAAATTCCCCAAAGAAACTAACGTACGGAACCTCCTGAGCCTTGGAGCATTACTGTGGCATTAGACCACAGTTCTGAGGGGGCTTCAACGAGGTCTGAGTTATTCATCAAGGGGTTATGCTCATCTGCATTAAGCTTTTGCTCCAGCAGGTGTATTGACAGTGCACAATGTTCTGTTGCAATTAGCTTGAATCCTTGATATTACATAGGTTTTCAATGCAATTTATACCACCTTTGAATACTGTTAACAAAGCTATGGATATACAAGTGGGGAGTTCTTGTGAGAGGGCTAGTAGTTGATGTTGGTGATTTATGAAATAACTATACTAACTGCAACGTGAGGTATTAATAAAAACAAAAGTAGAAATAAGGTAGAAAAAATAGGAGGACAGAATAGATGTCAGGTCCAACTGGTCCTCCTGGGCTCAGCAATCAGACCTAGATATTAATTTTGGATGAGGTGCCTCTGGTATGTCCCAGAGTCCAAGAAGGAGTTTGCTCAGGACTCTAGCTTCCTCTCATTCCTGTGTGCCTGTCTTCATTGTTGGGCCCCTGGGTTTTAGGATTGGACAGGTGTATTAATCTGGCTGAGGTTTTCAACTCTGATGGAATTAAAAATCACCCAGGGAACTTTTAAAAGATATTGGCCCCTATTTCGCACCAATCAAATTGGAATCTCTGGGGATGAAGCTCAGATGTTGGCATTTAAGAAAAGTTCTTTATGTGATTTTTATTGCGGCCTGCGCTAAGAACTATGGGCACAGTAGTCTTAGCAGTGTTTCAAAGTTGTTTTAGTAGGTCTTGGGCTAAGACCAAGGTATGCTTCTTACCACACAGAACCTAAGTGTAGCGGTGGCAGACCTCAAATCCAAGGAATGCGGAAAGACACTCATCTGAAACTGATTATGCACTCTGTCCATCACAAGGAGGCCTCTGAGGGAAGCATCTATAGTTGGGGTGAAGGGCTGTAGGTAGCTACAGAAGAAGGTGGTATGGGGTGGAGCCCTTAAAGGAGGAGAACCTTATAAGGAAGAGTCAAAGTGAATATCTTAGGGGCAGTCCTCAAAGGATCCTGCAGTAGGAGAGCTCAGGGTTTTATTTTCTTTCTTTCTTTCTTTTCTTTATTTCCTTTTTTTTTTTTCCCCTGTAATGAGCCACATATATATAAACCATGTGTGTGGCAATGCATTAGTTTTTTAAACAATGGGTAACTACAATCTGGTCTTTATTGTAGTTGCATAAACTCTTAGTTAGGTACTAGGTCATACTTAACGCTGGGTAAGTCTACTTTCCCCAGACATTATTCCAATTATGTTTGAGCATCTGGATGCCAGTGAAGTCCTCCCCAGCAGGAGAGCTGATGAATCTGGATCTGAGTTCTACCATGCATCATGAGGATCTGGGCATTGCTGAAAAATGGTTGCAGATGAAGATAAACATTTGGGCTCTGATCATGGTGCTGAAAGTCATGGAAAGAGAGAGTGCAAAATAGAGAAGTTCTCAATGGTACCATGAGCAAATGCTGTGCAACAGTGGAAGCAAGGATGGTTTCAAGAGTTCCTGGCCTTGGAGCTCCCTTCTCTCTTTAATAAGAAAAGTGAATCTCTAGCCTCTGTTTAGAATTACCCAGCATGAGGCAGGCTGAGTAGTAAGTACATGCTCCAGCTCCGGAGGTAGAGAGACTTGGTATATCTTTCCCTCTGGGGCCAGGCGTCTGTATCCACTTTTCTCAGTGAACTCCAACTCCCAAAGACACACCTTGGTCCTTTCCCTTTGAAGTGGGGCCTTAAGGAGTCAGCTTTTCCAAACTGAGTGTGGCTGACTGTGCTGATGGGCCCATTTGCAGGCCCTTGTCACTCTGGGTCCTGAGCCAATCTTCAAAGGGGATGGAGACTAGAAATGGCCTTACCCCTGTCATCTATTGGGACCTGGAATGAAGCATCCCCACCAGACAGAACAAGATCCAGGGCCATGTTGGCATGTTCAAAACATTGCCAGAATGTGCTTTGTAAATAGTCTTGGGGCCTGCCTTGCTAGTTGCTTTAGTAGTTCCCCAATATGGTGTTTTCCTATCTAGAAGACCTCTATTTATATGGTTTTTAAAATTTGATTTTTTTTTTTAGAGAGGAAGGGAATGGAGGGAGGGAGGAAGGGAGGGACAGAGAGAGAGAGAGAGAGAGAGAGAGAGAGAGAGAGAGAGAGAGATTGGCTGCCTCTTGTACCACCTGACCCCTGACCAGGGATCAATTTCTCAATCTGGGTATGCACCCTAACCAGGAATCGAACCCGTGACCCTTTGGTGCATGAGACAATGCTCAACCAACTGAACCACACCAGCTATGGCCAGAATACCTCTATGTAATATTGGTTTAGTCTTGGTTCTTTTCCTCTACTCACAGCCCTGTTGATATTGTTGAGGTGCCAACATGTCTCAAATTATATGAATATTTACCTCATTAAAAATGAAAAACTTGAGAAATACATGATTTACTGTGCTCTTTTGCAGCGTAGCTGCTGTCCTGTTATTGAGATGTCTAAGTCTTTGCCTCTAAAATAGCAGTCCCTTGCTATCTGGGCTTAATTCAGTTTTCTAATCGGGTCACTTTTTAGAAATTTTCTTACTCTGTTTATACTAGAGAACTTCACCCAATCCTCCTCTAATCCTTAAACCTCAAGGACTCTGTATTCTGTTGACTCACCAATCTAGAGTACTAATCCTGGACTAGGATAATCATAGCCTATATAGTATGCTTTTTTTAAGGAGTGTGTACTTGGCTTATCTCTGGCTCTGGAAATGTTGCTGAAAGACTGTGAAGGAAGAAGAAGATGAATATGTTCTTGGTCTGTTCCACTGTTATGTAGCCAGGCTTTGAAGAAAACCTCCATGCTGACAACATCATTGTCTATAGTCTGAAGGTCAATGTCAATTCCCAGGAAAGAGCTTTCTGCAGAATAAAGGGAAAGAGTAGTGAAAGTGTTTAACTCTTTAATTGTAAAATTTGAAAAATATAAAATTTTAAATGCACCATTTTTTGACCAATCGATTCTACCTCTAGATATCTAGCCTATAGGCATTCTTGGATAGCACACAAAGAGACATATGCAAATATGTTCAGCACAACATTGTTATAATAACCAATAATAAAAAAACTTAAACAGGAAGCAATTCAAATGCCTGCCAATAAGGGAATATTTAAATATTAAATGATGACACAATCAAACTATAGAGTATTATGCAGCTGTTAATAAACAAAGTAAAGCTAAATGTGTTGACACGGAAAGCTACGAGGTAGTAAGTGAATAAAGAAAATTGTAGCTGAAACCGGTTTGGCTCAGTGGATAGAGCGTTCGTTGGCCTGCGGATTGGAAGGTCCCATGTTCGATTCTGGTCAAGGGCATGTGCCTTGGTTGCGAGCACATCCCCGGTGAGGGGTGTGCAGGAGGCGGCTGATGGATGATTCTCTCTAATCGATGTTTCTGACCCTCTATCCCTCTCCCTTCCTCTTTGTGAAAAATCAATAAAATATATTTTAAAAAAGCATAAAAAAAGAAAGTTGTAGAACAGATGTACAGTATGAGCCCATTTATATAAAAATAAAACTAATGGCCTAAGTGCATACATGTGTACGTAATGTATTTTACAAAAGTCTGGAAGGCTACTATCAAACTGTTAACAGTGGACAGGAGTAGAAATGGGGCAGTTCTGAGATACATTCCTTTTTAATATTCATATTTTGCATTCTAGAAAAAAGTAAAATAATACAGTAATGTAAGTAGTTAACAAGGGGAACTTCAGCTTTATGTTGTTGTTTCACAGTGAAAATGTATTCACTTATTACTTCTTCCATGAAAAATAAAATTTAAAACTATGAAAACAACAAAAAGATGAACTCCTGAGCCCTACCTTCTGACACAGATTATACAAGTCTGTCACTGGTGTGCTGTATCTCACAACTGTGATTAGCGGCCCAAAGACAGATGGTGGAGTATGATTTGATGTCAAATATGAATGAATGGAGCCAGGTGGTGGGTGAGGAGGTTCTGCTAGTCTACTTCCTGCTTCAGGCAACACTGGGATCTGGGTCTGCAGGTAAAGGTTGTCAGTAAAAGCCAAATATAAGGTGGTAGAGGAAATGAGGCAGGAGCTGGAAAGAATCTTTTTTTAAATTTTCTTTCCTGACCATGAGGGGCTCTCTGAAATACTTTTACAAAGAGCCTAAGAAAAACCAGTTGCTCCAATGAATTAACTTCTGTGTATGACTCATGGACCCCAGGGAGAAGGCTAGTTTATTTCTAGAACGACATTCCTGAGGACAAGTATGCAGAGGTGGCAGACTTTCCACAGGGAACAAAGGGCTTCAGTCCAACGTGTTGGTACCCACACAGGGGAGGTGTAGTGAGACCTAGATGACTTCACATCATATTGAATGACTTATTCTTTGGCTAAAAAGGGGCATCACATGCAGTTCTCGTGTGGCATGTGTGAAAGAAACTCCACCATCTTCTGTGGGTAGTTACAAGGATTCATTAGTGAATTAGTTATTTCATTCATTTAAGCAGTAATATTTATTATGTAGAACGTAGAAATACTACACAGTGTACAAAGATATATGGTACTCTGTGCTCTTTTGGAGTTTATAAAGCAACATTATATATGTTTAAAAAAAGGACTATTTATTGAAGTAATGAAGGAACATTATTTTTTTATCCTCACCTGAAAATATGTTTATTGATTTTAGAGAGAGAGGAGGGGGGGGGAGGAAAGAAACATTGATGTGAGAGAGAAACATTGATCAGTTGTCTCCTGTATGCGCCCAGTTGGTTAGAGTGTATTGTGACAATACTCTAATCAACTGAGCTACCTGGCCAGCACAGGAACATTATTCTTGACCATTCCTCCTTAAACTCTACTATAGTGATACATATGAAGTCATTGTCAAAGAAACATTCATCATAAGTTAAGTTCTTTTTTATTTTTGAAAGGTTCTTTTAAATAATGTGAATCCTATTTTGTCACAGACAAAACAAGAAATAATTTAGATTCTGAGCCTGGACTTCACCTTGAATGACATATGGAAATGACTGAACAGCTTCTCTTCAGGGAGGCAAAATAATTATTAAAACATAAGGAGGCAGATACAGGACTACAGAAATGAAATTGAGCAAAAGACCTCAGAAAACAGAAAGGATAATATTACTTAGAGTTCAAACAATAGGATTTTGAAGAGAAAACGTGTCTCATTTTCTCTCCCCAGGGACAGGATACAAGAGTAGAAACTCTTCCCATGGGCCGTATAAGGAGACAACACAAAGTTACTCCCAGCAAGAATCTGGACATAAGAATAGGGGTTTTCCTCAGATAGTTAAACCATAAAATCAACAGAGTGGTGAGATCCATAACAACAAAACAAACAACAAAAACCAACCAGCGATCTTAAGAAAGGAGAATGGTTTACTGACCAGAGCAAGATTGGGCTGGAGCCTATGGACGGCACTGGCTTACCCAAAGGAATAATGTGCCCCTTAGAAGGGAGAGGGTTGGCTAGAAATGGAGCACAGAGAAAGGGAGCGACAGGGGCACACATTGACAGCATTCATCCCAGAGTGGCTCAATGGGGAGGGCATGCTGGCTCAGAGATGTGTCCCAATGGCAGGATATGTTTGTTGGGTCTCTGCTCCCTTTGGTGATGATGGTGGTTATGATTCTCCCTCTAAAATATTCTGGTTTACCCTTTGATCTTGAGGTGGATAGGGTGAGCCTATCTCTGAGAGGGTGCTGACAAAATAACTTTCCGATCCTGCAAAGCTGAAGAGCCAAGACTGAATCATGACATCTCTATGAAGGTGATGACACTCTTCCCTGCAGATACCCATCGACATTCCTGAAGTTCTTTCCAATTTCTCAACCTACAGGTTCTTTTTTTGGGAGAGCCACAGAGCAGAACTTCTTTCTTTGAAAACGTGCTCATGTAATTTCCACCCAGGCACAGTGCAACAAGTTTGAGTCTGCAGTTTTGCAGGCTCAAGAGGGAGTCAGCAGCTTTTCAGAGACAGTCACGTGGTCCAAGCTAACGGCTAATGTGTAAAAAGCAGAACACCCTAGAGGGAGAGCTGCTTTTTCATTTTCTGTCAGTGGATCAGGCCTTGTGCCTGGATCATAGCAGTAACCACTTCGCTGTCCTATCAGGCTCCACTCCTTGTCCTCCGTAGGCACTACTACCAGCGAAAGTTTGTAAAGTATGGTTTCATCAGATCCCACTTTTGCTAAAGGGTACATCCTGCCTTCCTGCTCTCATCATCATCATCATCATCATCATCTTTTTCTTCTTCTTTTTAAAAAATATATTTTATTGATTTTTTACAGAGAGGAGGAGAGAGGGATAGAGAGCTAGAAACGTTGATGAGAGAGAAACATCGACCAGCTGCCTCCTGCACACTCCCTACCGGGGATGTGCCCGCAACCAATGTACATGCCCTTGACCGGAATCGAACCTGGGATCTTTCAGTCCGCAGGCCGACGCTCTACCACTGAGCCAGACCAGTTTTGGCTCTGCTCTCATCTTTATTCCCCTCATTCATCCTATTCAATTGGTGATATTCATTATTCCTCAAACACCTGGCCCTTCCCTTTTTCTATGATGGCTCACAGGATTTCTCCCATCTCCATGGGAGATCCTGTATTCCAATCCCCGCAGGTAGTTTGCATGGAGCTGAAGCTTAGCAAATGCTTTGAGTTAAACAATAAGTTAAACAATTGCTTCCTCCTCCTCCGCTCATTAATTTTTCCTGTAACTCTTCTGCTTCAGCTAAGTTAGTCTCCTTACCACATGACTTCCTTCCTTCCTTAGTGCTTTTATTACTCTGTCAATCTATGGCCTGCACCTCCCCCAGCATTCAACTCAGCGCTGACTTTGTCCCAGAAGCTACGCTTAATTACATCCTTCTTTACTCAGTTTTAACCAGCATCCCCTGGATATCTGTGGGCTTCATTTGGTCAGTGCAAACTGTACTTGTTAATTGGTTTCTTCTGAAGGGTTTTCTTTTTTCACTCCTGTGAGTTTTTGAAACATGATGGGATGTAGTGGAAAGACCAGGGTTTGAGTGGTGACTTGAAAGTTGTTAGCTTTGTGACTTTGAGCAAAGTGGGGATAGTACACCTATGTCAGTGATAGTGAGGCATAAGAAGTGAGATGATTGTCTAAGAATAACATGCAGTAGGTTCAACAAATGACATTTTTTCCCTTTACTCTCATCAACAGAATTATTTGTTTTTACAGGACAAGAATATGCTTTCCTTTTGAAGACATTTCCTCCTATCACTTCTCTTGGTGACTGCTTCCTCCCCACCACCACCATGACTAAGAACACCAACATTTAGTGCTGTGTCCCTCACAGGTACAACCAAACGTGCTAACCCTGGGGATGGAGAGGAGACTTCTCACTTCTCACATGTTGACTGGCGAGCAGGGCACTGGGCACTGGATAAACCAGGTCCTGCTGAGGGTATGAAATAGAAAGGTTGCCAGAGTGAGGGTGCAGGCAGCTCTGAGTGTCTGGGTGGCTAAGACAAGTGAGGAAGGCCTGGTTCACTGTAGCTGATACAGCAGCCAGCATTCACATTCAGTTTTTGGACTTACCCTGCCCCACTGTGGCCACAAGCAGTAACATCCTTCACAGAGGTTTCTCCGAACTCCCAATTTCCTCCCTTCTCTTCCCTCCTATCCCCTCCTTCTTTCCCCTTCCCACTTCCTCCTTCCCCTTTCCCCCTTCCCTCTCTTCCTCTCTTTTCTTTTCTCCATTCTCCTCCCTCCTTTCTCTTCCCCTCCTCTCCTCTCCTTTCTCCTCCCCTCTCCTCCCTTCCCCTCCCTTCTCCTCTTTCCTTCTCTCCTCTCCCTCCCTCCTCCCTTCCTCTTTCTTTCTTTCTTTCTTTCTTTCTTTCTTTCTT